GAGGATAGGGCACTGCTCACATCATGACATACATACAGTAAAAGAAAAAAAAAAAAGTAATTATGTTGCTCATTGACATTAACTGCCCACAGCCAAAAGACTGGCTGCCAGGAGGGCAGGGGGATTCATACCTCTAACCCATTTAAAGCACATGCATTGTGGTTAGGAAGCTGTGAGTTAGAGTACTCTGTCCTAAAGGAAGTAATAGATCTGGGTTATCTGAGAGAAGACAGTCGAGATTGGGGGTAAGGGGCAGAGTGAGGAAAGTTAGAGCTGGGAACAAGTAAGATATAGGCACTAAGATATGACAGAAGTACTTAGATCAGAATCAAAAGATAATGTTAGGAAAAACTTAGGGAACCTAGTTGGTTGATCTTTTTTGCTTTCAGGATTTTCCAGAACCAGAGACTATAGATTTGATCTAGATGAGATTGTGATCTGTTATATTTGAACATAATAACATGATGAAAAAAGGGTTTAGCAGTGATCATCCTGGCAGTGTGGACTTGAATGGGAGAAACTATAGGCAGAAGACCAGTACGGTGTTTTATAATTATCAGTAATGAAGAGATTTACAGTTTCTTGTGGATCTACTATGTACCAGGCACTAGATTAAACTTTCTCTCATTTTTTTTGTATCTTAATCTTAACAATTGTTTTGGAAGGTGGATATTATTTCAAAATAATGTTCTTCAATTTCAAAAGTGAGGTCTGGAAAGGTTAAATGATTTGCTTGAGGTCACTTAATAAGTAAGTGGCAAATTCCAAAACTTCCACTCTTATTCCCAAAGAAGCTGATGAAGAATCCAGGGCACTGGAGGCCAGAGTTAGAAAATCCCCTACTGTCCGTGAATATCATGTAGAGAGGTGTTGAGTCCAAGTCGTTACTAAAAAAGAATTGGTAGGACTTTATGACAAATTAGGTGTACACCTGGAATCAGCCAGACTGCGAGGTTTGAGGGTACACAGTTCACAAAACTGCCCTCATTCCTGATGCCCCTTGCATGTTTGGAGTTTCCCAGAACCGCCCTCAAGTCTGATAGTTTATCAGCAGGACTCACAGAATTCACTGAATGCTCTCATACTGTTGGTTGCAGTTTATCACCAGGAAAGTACACAGATTAAATTTGATTAAAAGAAAAGATGCATAGGGCAGAGTGGAAGGGTTCCAAAACAAAGCTTTCATTGTCCTCAGGACCCGTTCCTCTCCCTGTGTATAAGTGTGACAGAATGCACTGAGTATCGCAAACCAGGGATGCTCACCCAAGCTTTGAGTTCTGGAGTTTTTATTGGGTTTCATTATGTAGTCATGATTGATTGCCCATGTGATTGATCTCAGTCTTTAGTCTGCTGATACCATATGATCTGAAGTCCCCACACTAAAATATATGGTTGGTCTTTTAGGTGTACCCTCCCCCATGGTCCACCCTGAACAAAAACAATCAAGTATGACACAGATTATCTCCCAGAATCTGAGGGCAAAGGCCAGACTTTTCTCCAGGAAGGGCCAAACTCTTAATTATGCAGGAGGGACTAGAGAGAAGGAAGAGCCAAAGATAACATCAAGATTATAAAATCTGCATTCTGGTCCAGACCTCTGAAACCACTGAAAGAAAACAAAGGGACACTTGAGGTGGAAGTCTTTGGGAAATATATTTGATTCAGTTTCTGACATTTTTGGGTTGTCTTCAGCATCTTTCTGGATTTCCAAGAAAGAGAAATTTGTAGATAAATACAAAGGTAGTGAGCAGACGGGGCTGAAAGGATGCCCTAGGACGTCATCTGCAGATAGAGATCTGAAGGTTACAGAGCAGTGACAAGACTGCATGTACTTGGGGCCTAAGACTTGTATTTGGTTCGGAATTGACCGTGTATTCTGTGATTGATCTTGAGCACCTTATATATATGTTGAGCTCTCAGCCTCAGTTTGTCTGTAAAATGGGTGTGCGAAAAATACATACTTTGAGGGAGTCTACTTTCCAGGATTGGTTTAAAAAGTAAAAGGTGGAAATACTTTTGTAAACCGTAAAGCACTAAAACAAATTCTGTTCAATTCATTGTAGAAGGAAGAGTTCCAAAAGGCCCAGTAAGCCTTCAGGTATGCTCAGGAAAAGGTAGTAAAGGGAGGAAGAAACACAGAATTTGTGGGAAATGAGTAAACTTCAAGATAAAGGCATTTTTTTTAGTATTGGTAATCAAGAAGCTTAATTCCAGGAGGCAGGAAAGATATAGGGAAGTAATTGAAAAGAGTTTTGAATTGAATTGAGGTGGGCTTTTTGTGGTTCATTGATTTATTATTAGGGGACATTTTTCCTCTAAAACAAAAAGCCTTCATTTTTTTTTTTTTAGCTTTAGTGAAGTATAATTGACAAATAATAAGCTGCATATATTTAAACTGTGCAGTTGGATGAGTTTTGACATGTGTATACCTGTGAAACCATCCCTGAAATCAAGATAATGAACATATCCATCACCCCCAGAAGTTTCCTTGTGCCCCTTTGTAATCCCTCCGTGCTGCTCCCCCATCCTGTTCTCCCCCTCTCCTCCCTCTCCAGCCAGAAACCTGATCTGTCACCGGAGAACCAGTATTCGCTCTTTTTGTCTGGTTTCTTTACTCAGCATTTCTCTGTTGATAGATACATGTGTGGGAATTGCTGTGTAGAAGGAAGTCACATCATTTATGGGTTAATTGTATGTCAAGTGCAAAGGCCAGAAATAAGTCCAGAATAATCTGGAAGGTCTTTATTTAGACTACGCTGTGGAAGTTGGGTGCTATCTGTTTATATTAGATGGTTGCTCCATGAGAGTTTGATGATGTCCAGCTTTACTTGTTCTACCTATTATTGATATGGGCTCCTAATGTTGATATTAAGCCTCACAGAAGCTTTCATAACTCAAAGGTGATTTGTCAGCAAATTGAGAAGGGAGCCACCTCTCTGGGCATTCCGACGTTGATGGTGTTCTCTGCCATCAGTGTATAAAACTAAGATGCAAATTTATCAGTTCACTGAAAAATAAAGTCTCTCGTTACGGAGAGATTCTTTGGAGAGTCAGATGGTAATCAGAAGATTGCTCGGTCAGACAGCAGTCACCACACTGTGAGTTTAACTGTTTTAAATGTCTAGTTAATGCTTTGCCACCAAGGTAAGGGTCTTTGTGTCCGTGTCTTTTCCTCTAAAAAGATTTTGTATGCCAGCCATGTGTTGAATTGTAATAAATATGGTGAAAGAATAACTTGATTTTTTTCCCTCCTTCATTGCAATCTTTCTGAAGAGCAAGTTCACACCTTTCCCTTTTTATCCTGTACTGCTTTTCAGGTGTTAATAATTTGAAATAACTTTGAGGACAAAAAAGGAGTAATTGGAAATATTTTAGACTCAAACAAATGCTATTTAAGTATACTCTAGACTTGTTCTGTGTTGAGGATCTCTAAATCAGTCTAGCAAAACAGACAATAATTTCCAGAACTTTTCCAGAATCTTTCTAAATAGATTTACTTAGGTACCGTTGATTGATTCATATTGTTTTTCGTATTTATTTCCTAGGCCTTTTGTAACAAATTACCACAAATTGGGTGGGTTAAAACAACAGAAATTTGTTCTCTCGTAGTGATGGAGGCCAGAAGTCTGAAACTAACGTGCCAGCAGGGTTGGTTCCTTCTGGAGGCCTTGGGGGAGAAACTGTTTCTCCTAGTTTCTGAACTAGGAAAACATACAGAAATTCATATGTATTCATGAACCATAAATTATCTATGCATTTTAATATTATGATATGCAGTCATAGTCCGAGGACTTGTCGGGCCAATTGGGGCAGAGGGGGAATATTTAAAACTGGATTGGGAAGCGGAAAAGGCCAAAAAGGAGCTAAGAAGGAGAGAAAAGCGAAAAGAATGAATAGAGCGAGAGGAGGTCTCGTTTCAGTCTTTCTTGTACATTCCTATTAGGCATTTGAGAGAATGTTTGGACTAGTGTAGCTGTAAGGCTGCCACATAAAAACTCATGCCAGAAAGGAAAGAAAATAGCATTTCTTTAGTAGTATTACCTTCATATGCCCACCAGCCATTGAAATCTGTGCCTTTTTTTTATTTTTGGTACTCCAAAGACTAATTCTCTAATTCAAGTTCAAAGCGAAGTAGTTTGTTTTGGTAAGGTGCTTTTAAAAAATTCTTTTAAGCTGAGAGTAATGTTGCACTCATTTTAAACTTTTTTTTTTTTCAGATTGTATCCATATGTCCTATATCTTCAGTTAAGATTATATTTATAAACAGAATTAATTCTTTGTGCCTGTAAAATAGCAGTCTGCAACATGATCACTCGTTTTATTATAAATTATCTAGGCCTAATTGATGCCTTTTTAAAAGGCTAGCAATAACATGGGTCAAGTCATAGTTCCTAAAAATCGTGACATAATTTGCCTACAGTACTATGAGTCATTAGCTCAGAAGTCTCAAGTCAGCATGTATTTATAATTATCTTTTTTTTTTTTATGAATGGAACCATTGCAGTTCTTAGAGTTTGAAAAAGAATGTAAATTAGTGTAGTATCTGCACCTTGTGCCTGATAACCTTCCCACATATCTTTTTAGCTTTGATGTCTCCTCCTTGCTGTCTGTTTATCAGTCACATTGACCTTTTAATGCCTCGAAATGATTAAGCTCAGTTCTGGGCCCTGGTAAATGCTGTTTCTTCGCCTGGATTGCTGTCTGGTCTTTCTTTGTCTGGCTTACCTTTCGGATCAGCATAAATGTTCTTCCTTTTGGCAGGCCTCTTCTAGCTCCTTGGATTAGGCAAGTCCTCCTCTTTTTATACTCTGACTTTTCCATCAAAGAACTATCAGTTTGTAGTGAAGTAATTTGGAGGTAGGAGATATGCCTGTTTTGTTCACCATTATGACCCCTAGTAAGTAGTGGTAGCTCAATAAGCATTTATTGAATTGAGGAATACAGGCATGCTCTTTGCATCCCCTGTGTCCTGTGATTAATACACTTACCTTATTTTTTTTACCACTCAAGTAAAAATGTTAATTTTTTTTTTTCTTCTCAAGAGTTTGGCTGAATTGGAAGTATTATGTACTCATCTCTACATAGGGACTGATCTTACGCAAAGAATAGAGGCAGAGAAAGCACTCCTGGAACTTATTGACAGCCCAGAATGTCTCAGCAAGTGTCAACTTTTATTAGAACAAGGAACAGTAAGTATTTGATCACAGCGATCAACCATGAAAGATCAGTAGATATATGTCATTGTTGATGTACTCCTGTAGGTTAGCAATGATGACTGATAGGTATTACCACATGTCTTTTTACTGTAGTTTATTTCACTGTCAAAGAGATTAATCAGAGGAAGAATTGGAGAAGGCCTGGACAGCAAACTTAGGGAAGAGCCTTGGAGGTAGAAATAGACATGAATCGAAATAGTTTCTTGATTCCTCTTGGCCCCTCTTTATGTATCGTACTGGTGAGCAAAATTTATATTTTTAGAAAGTTGACTGACAGCTTTAAAAAAAATTAAGGTGGGAGAAGCAGATTTATGGAATGATTGAGAGGAATGCTGACTGCCCGGTGCCTGCGTCCCTTCTAGAGTTTCATAGCCAGTCATTCAGCAATTATTTAGCAAATACTTCTGTATAAAACAGGTTGCTGTACTACCTGCTCGCTTTACGCTGGTGCGTTAAAGTAACTCATACTTTAGTTGGGGAGGCGCAGGTGTGTAAATGAAGAGCTCCGAAATGATACGGTAAGCAATACAATGGGAGACTGTATGGTCTAGAGCAGAGGTCGGCAGACTTTCTGCCAGATTGTAAATATTTTAGACTTTGAGGGCCCAGAGGCAAAATCAAGGATAGTTTAGTTTGTAAGTACATCTAAAAGAAAACAAATTTCCCCTAAGTTTTATTGGTGAAATTTAAAATATAAAAATTGAGTACAGCTTTTTTTTTTTTTTTTTTTTTTAAACACAGGTCTGCTAATGAAAAGAATGGAATTATTTTTTCGGGGATAACATTTTGCTTAAGTGGGGTTCAAAGTTAGTATTTCCTATCATCAACATTGATTGCAAATGTATATATGTTAATACTGATACGTAATGAGATTTTACATCTTTCCTCTTGGAAAATACCTTTTCACACAGATAGGTATTGCCAGATATTGCTGTCCGTCCACGAGCATATGATTTTCATGAAGCATATTCATCACTTAGAAGGCATTTATAGAATTGTTCAAACTTCTCTTGATATTTGCCTTTTAGAATGTCAGTACGTTGCAGATTAATCACTTCCAATTGAAGGTTGAGAGGAAGCTCCTCAATAGCTCAGTTAAATGGATTTTAAAATATGGAAATTTCCTTTGCACTTACGTCAAGGTCTGAAAAATGCTGCTGGAACTGTGGTTTGAGCTCAGAAAACATACTCAGCAATAGAGATCTTGTTCTTTGTTTTAACTTTTGGCAGGGTTGAAGTGTGTAAAGCAGCTTGATATTACTTGCGATTCAAACAGTGTCAGTTATTGAAATGACTTTACTGCATAGTAAGTTTTCTCTGATAAGTACTAAGCACTGTTTGCCTTTTAGGCAATTTTATATCTTTAGGTCGAATTCATTAAGAGACATCATCAAGTTTGTAGCAAAAGCTGATTTCCAAAAGCCATTTAGTATTCAACAGTAGTGATTTAGAATGGTTCTTCTCATTCAGAAAAATTTCATTGTCAGCCTCAGCTAAAAAAAAATTGCAGTGCAACTTTGCCCCTGCCAAGCTATTGAACTGTTAGTGTGGTAGGGCAGGTCAGGATTTTTTGCTTCTATTTCTGACAGAAATTTACAGAACCGAAGATAAGTTCATGAATGTGAAAGTCCACAGTTAACATCACTGATTCATTAACACTGACAGATTCAATTATTTACTACAGCCCTTTTCTGCTCGATATATTTTTACCACCAGTTGTGACACATCTTAGCAGATACTTCTTCAGGTAGTACAGAATTAATGTTTTCTCAGCTTCTTTAGTTTCACCCACTCTTCAAAGATGTTAATTCTTTAGTCACTGCAAACTTAACATCGATTTCTGGAATAAACATATAGTTAATATCGGCAACACTAGGAGCAGTATTAGTAACATCTGTCAGCTCATCAAGAACTAAGGAGAACCTCAGATCATTTGCCTTGTGTGAAATCCACTTTGGATGTTGCTCAGATGTCTCCCGCTGTTCGAACATTGTTCTCATGAAAAGGCTAGTCTGAAGTTTATTTTCTTGGCACATATTATATAATATTACTTCGGCTACTGCAATAAAATAATGGTGATTTAATTAACTCTCCATTGGTAAGTGGCTTTCCTTGCTTGGCTAACAAAATGAGCCACTTCAAAAATTAACTTTGGTCGCAGCTTATTTTATTTTCTATTTTTTGAAGAAATTCTGCTGTGATGCGATATTCTGTTTTCAGTTTTCTACTTTTTCTGACTGTCGATTTCCTGGGAATTAGGAATATTGTTATAAGTGTTTAGTCCGATATTGTCAACATATAGCATATTCTTTTAGTATAGCTATAGTGCCATTGCGTAAAAAGCACATTGCTTTACTATCTAATTCAGTTATAAAATAATCCACACTCCACTGTACCTTAAAAATTAGACTTTGAAGTCCACTTTCATCTTGTTTTGACATGATGAATATGCACTGGTAATAATAAAAGGTACATGTCATGTCATGGTGATATCCATGGCACTCTTGGCCCTGTGGAGTTATAACTACATCACTGCAATTTATAGTATATTGAGCAAACGGTAGGAGGCCACGTGCAGCCTGTGCTAACTCCTCAACACTGCTGTTATAATACAGAAGCAGCCATGGACAATATGTAGATGATTAAGTGTGACTGTGTTCCAATAAACTTTATTTATGGACACTGAAATTTGGATTTCATATATTTCTCACTTGTCACAAAATATTATTTTGATCCCCCCATCCCCGAAATGTTTAAAATAGTAAACATCATTCGTAGCTCATGGGCCTTGCAGAAACTGGCAGGATTTGGTCCACAGGCCTTATTTTGCTGACCTCTGGTCTGGTAAATAAAAAGAAAGGACTATCTTTACGAGAAGTTGCTGGGGTCGTCGTGAATCACTGAACTGAATTTTGAAGGATGAATCTGCTGTTAAGACAGCTGGTGGCCAGAGGGAACACACATCTGAAGGAGGGGGGAGGTCGAGGCGGGAAAGACCTCGAAAGGAACTGAGAGAAGGCTCTAGTGGTCAGAGGATAGTGACGAGTGGAACCAGATGAATTTGAAGAGATAATCAGAGGCCAGAACATGCAGGACCATATAGACATGATAAGAATATTTTATTTGAACTTATTCATAATCATTTTTGTCTCTAGATTGCTTGCTTTAAGAGGCTGCCTACACCTTCCTCAACAACCAAACTCTTGGAGAGAGGGAGGGAGGGAGAGTGTGTGTGTGTGTGTGTGTGTGTGTGTGAGAGAGAGAGAGAGAGAGGGTGGGGGGGGAGAGAGAGAGAGATTGAGAGAGAGAGAGATCCATGGTATATCTGCCAGTTTGGCAAACAAGAAGAATTCCCATTATTGCTTAGGAAAAGTCCCTATCATACTGTTTTGGTTACTCTAATTTCATTTGTGATGATAATAAATCAAATTTATTATTCTTTACAGACATCCTATGCTCAGCTCCTTGCAGCAACATGCCTTTCAAAACTTATTAGCCGAGTCAGTCCTTTGCCAGTTGAACAGAGGATAGATATCAGTAAGTGGTTCATTATGCTTTTTATCAACTTGTATTTTAAAAATAATTTTTTCCTTTTAAATATGCTAAACTGTTAAAGGCATGCAAATTATTCAATTCTGTCATTTTCTAAAGATGAGTAGTCATGTCTCTTTTACCTGTCTAGTGATGAACAGTGATTGTGACACAAAAATGCGTGATCAAGAAAGCATGTGTTTAAATTAATAATAAATAATAACTAGCATTTTTTGTGCACTGTTTACTAAGATTTGCACTGGCTCATTTTATCCACCAAACTTATAAGGTGGACATTATTGTTAGGCTCATTTTATAAATGAGGAAATTAGATTTAATCGGCTCTGTAATGTGCCCAGGATCACATAGGTAGAAAGAAGAGTAGTGATCTAAACCCACACTGTTTGTGTGGAGTCCATGCTCTTAGCCATTGTCTCAACTTCTTATATAACTGAATGGTAGGAAAAAAGTAAAATATCCAGTATTTCTCAGGATGCTGTATCAAAATTATTTGAGATGCATCTAAAATCAAAAGCAGATTCCTGCTTATTAGGAAGTTAATGTGAACATGGATGAATAGTTCTTGAGACTTTGTTGGAAAACCGATTCTATAAAGTAGCAGTGTATTTTTCAGAAGTAATGTATTTTAAGCTTGTGTGTGTATGAGTTTTTCATATGGACAAAGATCTAATAATTGAGGTATGGGGTTTTTTGGTTTTCTTTTTTCATATTAGAAATTGTCGACTCATTTCTGTTTTCCAGTTCTCAAGGGTCATATGACTCATATTCGAGTATCATAAAAATTAAAATGTGATGGATCTTTAAGCTCAGTTTTTGAATGGTCAGATCACAGAATGACTTATGTTATTTGCCTCATGTATTAGGCTGATCTTTCTCTAAGCACCTAGAGTCAGAGGCACCGCAGAAAACCTAGAGCCCTACCCATCCATGCATTATGGACTTGTGTGCTTAAGAAAACAAAAGAGAAATTTACAGTTTTAAAAACAAGGATTCAAACACTATAAACCTAAGTCATAAAACATTGTAATTTTGTTTATTTGACTGACTTTTATACACACACATACACACATTTTAAATAGGTTTTATTTTTTTAGAGCAGTTTTAGGTTCACAGCAAATAGAGTTCCCGTATATCTCTTGCCCCCCACATATAGATAGCTTCCCGCATTACTAGCATTCTACAGCACGGTGGTATGGCCGTTACGATTGATAAACCTACATTGATGCATCATTGTCACCCAAAGTCCCTGGTTTACATGAGGGTTCACTCTTGGTATTGTGCATTCTGTGGGTTTGAATAAATATATAATGTCATATATCCCTGTTATAATATTGTACAGAATAGTTTCACTGCCCTAAATATCCTGTGTTCTACCTACTCATCCCTTCCTGCCCTCTAACTCTGGAAGTCAGTGATCTTTTGACTGTTTTCACAGTTTTGCCTTTTTCGGAATGTCATGTAATTGGAATTGTACAGTGTGTTGCATTTTTAGATTGGCTTCTTTTACTTGGTACTGTGCATTTAAGTTAAGATTCCTTCATGTCTTTTCATGGCTTGATAGCTTGTTTTATTTTAGTACTGAGTGATATGCCATTGTCTAGATATAGCACAGTTTATCCGTTCACCTACTGACGAACATCTTGATTGCTTCCAAGTTTAGCCAATTATGAATAAAGCTGCAATAAAGCAGACTTTTGTGTGGACATAAGTTTTCGACTCATTTGGGTAAATTCCAAGGAGAGTGATTGATGGATCATATGGTGAGAATATATTTAGGTTTTAAGAAGTTGCCAAACTGTCTTCCAGTGTGGCTGTACCATTTCACTTTCTCGTGAGCAATGAATGTGAATTCCTGTTGCACCACATCCTTGTCGACATTTGGTGTTTTTAGGGTTTTGGATTTTGGCCATTTTAATAGGTGTGTGGTAGTAGGTCGGATCTTATATTATTTGCAGTTCCCTAGTGACATGATGTTGAACATCTTTTCACATGCTTATTTGTCATGTGTATGTTTGGTGAGATGTCTGCATAGGTCTTTTGCCTATTTTTTAAAATCAGGTTGTTAATTTTCTTATTGTTGAGATTTGAGTTTTTGGTATATTTTAGATAACAGTCCTTTATCAGATAAGTCTTTTGCAAAGATTTTCTCCCAGTCTGTGGCTTGTCTTCTCATTCTGTTGACATTATCTCTCAAAGAGCAGAAGTGTTTAATTTTAATGAAGCCCAGCATATCAATTATTTCTTTCATGGATCATTCCTCTGTCGTGTGTAAAAAGTCATCACCAAACCCAAGGTCATCTAGGTTTTTTTCCTTATGTTATCTTCTAGGAGTTTTTCTACTTTTGCATTTTACTTTTAGATCTGTAATACATTTGAGTTAATTTTTGTGAGAGTGTAGGGTCTGTATCTAGATTCATTTTTTTGCATGTGAATGTCCATTTGTTCTGGCACTATTTGTTAAAAAGACTGTCTTTGCCCTGTTTTATTGCCTTTGCTCCTTTGTCAAAGATCAATTGACCCTGTTTATGTGGTTCTTCTGTTTCTGGGCTCTCTGTTAATCGATCTGTTCTTTTGCCAATACCACATGGTTTTGATTATTGTAGCTTTCTGACAAGTCTTGAAGTTGGGTAGCGTCAGACCTCCGACTTTGTTCTTCTCCATCCATATTGTTTTGGTTATTCTGGGTCTTTTGCCTCTCTAAATAAACTTTAGAATCAGTTTGTCAGTATCCATAAAATAATTTGCTTGGATTTAATGCGATTTCACTGAATCTACAGATCAATTTGGGAAGAACTGATGTCTTGACAATATTGAAACTTCTGTCTATGAACATGGAATATTTCTTCATTTATTTAGTTTTTTGATTTCATTCATCAGCTGCAGATTTTTTGTAGATGTTCTTTATCAAGTTGAGGAAGTTCCCTTCTATCCCTAGTTTGTCGAGAGTTTTTATCACGAATGGCCAATGGATTTTTCCTGCACTATCGATATGGTCTTGTGACATTTTTTCCTTTAGCCTCTTGATTTTCAAATGTTTAACCAAGCTTGCAAACTCATTTTATGATACTTCTCTTCAAGACTTTTTAGTGTTAACAAACTTGCAGCCACGTAAGTTATTTGTGGGGAAACACTTTTAATTTCTAACATGCTTCATAAGTGCTAAATATTGTTGTTATTGTCATACAGGCATTTGACACTTAAAGCACCTTTGGTACATAGCTTTCCAACTTTCTCTCAACTTTTGAGAGTCTTCCAGCTGTTTTATTTCATTATCCCGTGTGTCTTCCTAAACATTTCATTTTCTTGGCTATGGCTTTTCACATGGACTATGGATGAGATTACAGTTCTCTTCTTGATCATTATCATTGATGCTTACTAAACTGGACAATATTTAAATTTAAGTCATGTAAAAAGCATAACATGAGAATATTTTACGTAAAACATTCAGATAAAATACCAGAAAGATCGTCTATTAATAAATTTTTTTCTGCCTTAGAAAATAAACTTATTAGCCTGTACCTTTGCTCGGGCAGTGTGGGAAGGTGTACTGGTCTTCCATTCACTGTTTTATTATTTCAAGATCATCCTTCTCATGGTTACTGCCACCCACCTATGGGCTCCTCACAGCCCCACCAGGTTAAAACTTTTCAAGATATTAAAAGTAAAAACAACCGAAGTAAATAAACCAGATTTTCTTTTATATTCAGAAAGCAGTGTCGTCTTTTTCAGTTTAGTTATTAAAAATAAAAGATTACACATAATGAAGCTTAAGAGAACCACATTACTATAATCCATAGGAGAAACCTCTTAAAGATTTATCTTAATGCTAGGAAAATCTGTGCTTTTAAAAATATATATTATTTTATCTTATTTTTATTTGTATAACTATAATTTTAATGTTAATAAAAAATAAGGTTGAAATATGCTAGTCGTGAGAACTTTTTTTTTAATGCGAAGACTCTCACTGAAGGTATCAAGAACAATTATTGACAGTGTACTTGGATTTTGGACTCTTTTCCATTAAAGTTATTTTTAGTTAAATATTCAGGTACTTAACTTTTCTTCACTCTTTTCCCAAATGGCATGCTGCCCTTTGGGGACAAAGTAGAAATGGAATCTTTCCCTTTTTAAAAAATATTTTCTTGTATTTTTCCGGTAGACTTTGTGTCATAATTGTTACTGACCTCAATTACTTAGTCCACTAGCTCATACTTGAATTTGCTACCTACTTTTAATGATTTTGGTATATTTACCACTAGTCTATTTGTACTTTCTTTTGCTTATATACTTATTTTTATCATATCGTACTATTTGTACTTTTAATGCCACTTAAACAGGTGTATAGTTAGTTTCGCTATAACATGACACATGCATTCCTAAAAGTGACTGTGCTATTCAATACTATGTATAAAACCACAAGACTTATGAGAGAAATGGGATTATGGAAATAAAATTCAAACACTGTCAATGATACATTAAAAAAAATTAACAAAAGATGTAGTAGAGTTTTATACATGTTAAATGGTGAAGAAATTCATAAATAGTCGAATAAATACGGCTTTTTACCTTGAAGAAGACCTGAATTTGGCTTGTGGAAGTGGCTTCGGGAGCGTTGCTGCCTGGGAGTTATCATGCAGTGGTGGAAGGAAGGTGATCTGAAATAGGGCGGGAAACTGTCACAGCAGAGAAGGGTGGCTGAGGCTGATGGGAGCAGAGTGAATGAGGCAGCTTGTAGATTTCGGAGGTGTGCGTATTTCATGTAGGGCTAGGTTCACTCGGCCGAGTCGAAGTTTTTTGTATTCACTTAGCATTTTTTTTCTACACAAAATCATGCAAAAACAAAAGTGACATTCTCATGATACACACATTTCCCCCTAATATATCATTTGAATTGGAACAAATTTGCTCTTTCAAATTAGTCTTATAGCAGATCTTATATAAATGAGTATATATCTTACAGAAAGAGATTGACTTTTTGTCAAAGAACGTATCATCACCACCTGTTTTTCTCCCATGATTCACATTGTGTTACTGAAACGTTCAGATGGTCACAGAATGTTTTCTTCCAGGGAACTACATTCTTAACTATGTGGCGTCACAACTCAAGCTGGCTCCCTTCGTCATCCAAGCTCTAATTCAAGTCATTGCTAAAATCACTAAATTGGGGTGGTTTGAGGTTCAGAAAGACCAGTTTGTCTTCAGAGAAATTATTGCTGATGTGAAGAAGTTTCTTCAGGTAAGTAGGCGTCATTACGTCACTAGAACATCACTTATTTGCTTTCTTTTTGCTTTAGAAACTGCTTTTCTTAAAAGCTGATGGTTTGCTTGGTTTTGTGGCTCCCACTACCATGTTAGTTATGAGTTGTTATTTATCCCTTGGGTCCTTTATTTTCTTTTTTTTTGCCAGTCATGAGGATCATGCCATTATATAACTTCCAGACCAGAAGAATGCATATTATGTTTTCTAATTTCAAAAATACGTGTTCTGACATTTCTAACATAGGTATCCGTATATGCAAAACATGTATTTAATGTTTTCATGTATTATCTAAAGCTCATTACATCTCTATGAATTTCATTTTGTAAATGAGAAAACAGGCATAAAAAGTTAAGTAATTTGCATAAGGTTGCACAGTAACCTAGTAAAGCTAGAGCGTGCACTTCAAGTTTTCTAACTTAAGATATATATAATATATATTTAATTTTTACATTATACCACATAGACTTTTTTAGTCTCAAGAACATTTCAACCTGCAGTTATAGCATATGCACATTTAACTTACACAAATTCAGGTATTTGGGCTGTAAAAAAAAAAAAAAAAAAAGGCAAGAGGACACTAATTTAAATTGTGCCAATGAAACCGGTTGCCATTCCACATGGTATTGTATGTCCTGGGGTGACATATGGGAAACCTAAGTCTGCTGTTTCCTGTTCCTGTGTGCCTCTTAGGATGACCATTGTGCTCTGCTCAGTGTGATCTAGATGTTTAAAGATCCATATTTTTTTCATACAAACATTATCTCTGCTTGCAGGAAAGGACTGTAGCTGGCGCTCTGCTGAAGAAGAAATAATGTGTTAAAATTCTCAAAGAAAAACTGGCAGTTTGGATTAATTGAGAGAGAGTTCAGTATCGGTTTATCAGCAGTTAGGGGCCATTTAGACTTTCTGAGATTTTCTTTTTTATATAGTAACTTTAAAATTTAATCCCTGTGTAAGATGTAACTCATTCACATAGTGCAGTGCTGGAAACCTCAGAAAATAAAATACTAGATCGTGCTGCTTCTCTTTCATTCGTATTGTTAAAACCATGGTTAACAAATGCGGCAGGTTCTCAAATAACGTTGCTTTATAATAATAATGTTGATGAGATGCTATAACTTGTTTATATCAATGAGCACCTGGTATAATTGGTTTGGGTAGAAGTCATTTCCCTTAAAGGCGCAGAACCTATTGAGGTCATTAAGTGAGGACTTCCTGTATTTGATCATCTAAAACGACACAGGACACAGGCATAAGTGTTTTCAGCTCTGGGGAGATCTGCCCTGAGGCAGAGGGGTAGTTTATTCAGAGGAGTTTCGAGTTTGGCTAACACAAAGCACCCCTCTCATCATTGACTAAGATTGCACACAGCTCATCAGGAATCATTAGCATAGACAAGAATAGGCTTCGAAGTTCTTTTTTAAAAAAATCAAGGTCTAAAACTCAGTGGAATGAAATCTTTCTTGTTGGCTAACATTTTTCAAGCTCCCTTTTCAGTGGCTGGTAAGTTGAGCTTCAGTTGGGCTTTCGTGTGCTTTTGTCAGTTTTGAAAGACTAGAAGAAACAAAATGTTTTATATTCAAAGTTGATTGTAGTATCACAAAACAAGCACTTGCTCTCTTGGGTATACGACTTGACCTAACCTTTATTCATGAGAAGGACAATTGACTTGACTGTGTTAGTACTCTAAAATAGTACCCATATGGTTCCCGTGAGTATCAGCAGCTTCTGTAAATTTTATACTAAATTTATTTTAAGTTCGTTAACTCTTTAATGGCCCGAAGTTTTCTTCGTTTCTCTGTCGTTGCAGCCTTATCGCTGCCACAGTCCAGACATTTACATGCCTCTTTCTACGTGCATACCCAGGAGATCCCCCCGTTGTCTGGGGGCATCGCTGTTCTCATGGCTGGTCCACAGTGAAATAAGGGTTTTATGTCAGAATATAGGCACACGTGGTACTTCCTTTATCAATAAAGCTGTACTGTGAAAAAATGCCAATGTACTTAGTGACTTAGCTGTTTTATATTATGGAACAAACTCTTTTATCTGGTCACATACTAGAACCAAACCATCCTTGGATTAGAATTGAGTTTGTAGATGACCAGCAGATTCACGGACCAGCACTTGGTCAGGAAACCACGGTTTGAGGAGCATTGGACGTGTACACGGAGGATGGACACTTCAGTAACAGGAAGCCGGTAGCTCAGTCCAGGCAGTTCGGATTGTTCTGATGGGCCATAATGCAGAACTAAAATGCAGACATTATGGGATGTTTCTTTTGTTTATGTTTTTATTTTGAGATAATTTCAAGTTAATTATACCTAGTGACCCAGTGTTAGTGGAATTCTGTGATAGGGAATGACCAACTATAAAATTAAGACTTGAAAAGTGCATCATTTGTATTAATGCCTTTTTATGATTACACTGTAATTGGGCATTACATTTATTTTTTTTCATCCTTCCAGTTGGATTTTGCAGTAAGGTAATTTGTTAGTAATATGCCCATGAAATCCGAGTTTTGATTTGAAGGAAGTTTTTGAAATTAAATTAGAAGCTGATTAAATTAAAACATTATAGAGGCTATGAAACTGTATACCATGTTGATAGTCATGTATTTACCACAGTACATTGAGCACGTTAGATGCCTTCATTATAGATATGTAATAAATGCGCACACATGTACTACGAAATAACGTTAAAAGGTTCTGAGTGATCTTATCTGATATTAGATCAAGGGGCTTAAATTAGTTCCTAAGCTATTATTTATTGAATACAGCTATCTCAGTAGCCTTCAAGCAAATTTATAGAACTAAAAAGCATTTTTCGTTCATTCATGTTCATAGTCTTATGAAAAGTATTAAACCAAACTTGAATTTTGAGGTTTAGTTTATTCTAAGTCCTAAGAACTGAAACCATTTTGTGGAGCGTCATGCAGTTCTAAGGCAGGTGGGCTTTTATCCCCGTCAACTCTGTGTACCTAAACTTATTCTTCAAAAATGAATTTGAAATTCTTTTTGTTTGTTACTCAGTAATTTTTATACATATTTTACTAGATATATATTTAAGAAAATGTGATGTTTCAGTATTTAATTATTCGTAAATATTACCTGGTTTACACATTAAGAACCAATCACATGTCTCCACTTAGGCCAAACTTGGTTATTTTCTCCACAGGGTACTGTGGAACACTGCATAATAGGAGTAATAATCCTTTCAGAATTGACTCAGGAAATGAACCTGGTAAGCCTTTCAGTCTAATGGTGACATGAAGTTTGCTAAGTAATGCTGTCTCTTTGATGTAAAATCTTCTTTATGTGGCATAAAACTCTTGAGTAGTTTTTTTTTCTATTGGTGGGATAATAATAAGTGTTCGAAATCTTTCATTGCTATTGAAAATAACAGCAATAGTATAAAATACTACAGAGAACGGGGAATTAGACATGGTCCTTACTCTGTGGCAAATGGAGAATTGTCCTTTTATCTTCTGTATATATAGTAATATACTAACCATAAGAAATAAATTAAATGCAGAAGAGAAACAAACCTTTATTTGCTTACAAATAGAAGAGAAGCCGTTTGGTGAATTGATTTTCATTGGTGAATTGATTCTCAACAATGGGCGCACAGCGGGACTCATTAAGGAACAGGCCACTTGGCACTCCGCCACATCTAGCGTGGATTTTCACCCCACATGAGGGGAGTTTTCAGAAGCTACGCCTCCCCCCAACGGTGCCTTTATGAGCTCAGCAGCTGAGCGCATCGTCACCTGCTCCTGGGCACGCTTGTACTTAACACGGTTCTAAACCAAACAAAAGAAGTTGGATTCTACATGGAATAGTGGTATAATAAAGGAGAATGTAGTGTCTGTATTTAAAAATGTCATCTTGAAATGGCCTGTGTGTGGGTGTGGGTGTGTGTGGATGGATGGATGGAGATATATATATATATATATATACACACATACATATGCAGATAGATAGATAGATAGATAGATAGATATATCTCCATCCATCCATCCATCCACACACATAGACATACAGGGAGAGCTTGCATATCCAGGACCCCTTGCCAACTCCCTTTGGAGTGACAACAGTTTCTGCATATATTAAAAAAAATATCATCCAAAATAACTATTTTCTACTTGTATTCAATCAGGAATTAGAAAACAATGAAGAGAATAGTACAACAACCCCATTTATTCATTATCTAGCTTGCATAACCATCAGCTTTTTGCTAATCTTAAAACTAGCATTTTCTTTTCATTTCCTACTTTCTAGCATAATAGGACTGCAGACGGCCCTGGTAGTGAGGATTTGCTGTGTGGGGGTCATTACTGAGGCCAGATGTTACCTGGCGCATGATTCAGAGAGCAAATAAGTTGTTTTAATTTTTAATTAACTACCTTAAACTTACAGAAAACATGGGAGTACAGTACAAAGTTCTTTTCTCAGCCATTTAATACTGAGTTGCTGACACGATCCCAGAATACTTTAGTGTGTTTCTTACATTCAAGGACATTTGCTTGTATAACCATAATACAACAATTAAAATCAAAAAGTTGAATGACATGTTATTGTTATCCTCATACTCCATTCAAATTACATCCTATATCCCAGGAAGCAACAAGTTTAGAATAGTGCATCTTATTTATTTGACATGTTTTATTGGTCTCCAACAATCTGGAAAATTTGTTTCCTATATTGAAGGAAGTTTTATTTGAAAGAAGGGAGAAATGCTGGAAATGCTAATTCAGATCTTACATATTGGATAACAGATTCTAGTAACTAGTTCCTATAATCACTTTGAACTGTTACATTTCACATTTCTATAAATAAGTTGCATTTAGGTATAGTTTAAATTGTATGATGGAGCCTTTGGAAGTGTCCGATAATCAATTTTGAGCTTTTTTTTTTTTTTTTTCAAATTTATGAACATTAGCAGGGAAAATGCTTTATTTTCTTCCAAATAGCAAAAGGAATGCTGTAGGAACTGTAGTCCATGGTGTTAATAATTGTTTGGGTATCTGATGTCAGCTTCGTTTGCTCTTTCCTATAGATAAATGGAAATATTAATGGTATTAATAGTGTGGCTTTGACCCTGTTATATTTTGGAGGCTCAAGAACTAGCTTTAGTAAATTTATTCTTAAAAATTATTTGTCATTAACAAAATGTTCAGAGGGAACATACTATTGCTTATGTAATAAATCATATTTGATTATTTATAATTTCTGCCTTGATTTCTTTTTAGAATACCAAGTATATATGAAACCAATGACATATCTGGTATATATAGAAATACCACTTTCACATAGAAGAATTTTTATGTAATTGATTCAATTCGCTGATTCATAGAAAGTTAGAATTTGAAAATTATGTTAGTGATTTCTCATTTTATTGATGGAGTCTGAGGAGCAGGAATTGATAGTATTTACCTATTATTTTATAGTAGTCAATTCTGGTTTTTAATTTTGGGGTCATTATAGTTTGTAGAAAGAGCCCTGAGTTGAAACAATTCAGAAACTTGGATTCTGACCGCGGCTGTGCCATTAACTCTTTGAGTAACCTTATTAAGCAAGTCAGTTATCCCAGTAGATATTTAAAAGTTCTTTTAGCTCGCTCTATACTTTACGATTCTTTAATCATAATTTGTATTCCTTTTCTTAATAAAATTTTGTTTTGCTAATCGTTAAGTCTGGTTAAGTAAATTCACCTTGACCTTTTTAGGTTGATTATTCTAGACCTTCAGCAAAACATAGGAAAATAGCTACCTCGTTTCGTGACACTTCTCTCAAAGACATTTTAGTGCTAGCATGCTCTCTTCTGAAAGAGGTAAGTTATTTAATAATTCAATATCCTAGTTAAAGTATTTAGGAAATTTTAAGTTTCAAAAGAATTTCAAATGAATCCCTCCCCTCATTCTGCCTTTTGAAGCGTTGTTGTGGACAATCCGAAGTACAGTAGATTTGCTCAGATCTGTAAGAGGTTCCAAAAATTCACTTTTTTTTTTTTTTTTTTTAACTAAGGATGTAATACAGTAAATCCAAAGGGAATTTAGCAACTTGCAGTTAGGTAGTAGTTTCATTGTCGTCTTATGTAGATGATTTATTACAGAAACTGACTGAGACTTAGTTTCTGGGTTGTCCCGCCCATATTTGAAATGACAGTACGTTTTCCTGATTCATCAGCTCTCAGCATTTATTCATAGTTCAGCCAAGATAGTTGACTTAAATAACTTCTTTGGGAAAGATTTCCTCATTTGCTACGTCTTGCCCTATCGATCATTAGGGATAGTATGATTTATAATCATATGGTGTTCTCTTGTAATATGGGGACTCTTTCATACTGCTCAAGCTTGTGAATTGGTATGATATAGCATTTTCCAAAGCATGTTTCACTAATCACTATTTTCTACTTATTTCAGTTCTGTGGTCTAGTAACATGATAACTCCCACATTAGGCCACACTGAAAGACCCTTCCTTATGTAAAACATTTTGCTTTTAGCATGGAAAATTTTAACATATACGAAAGTATGTGAATAGTGTAATTAGCTCCTTTGGACCCATCAGCCAGTTAAGCAGTAACAACTCATGACCATGTTTCATCTGTATCCTTAACCTAACCACTTTAGTTCTTTTTGTGTTATTCTGGAAGCAGAATCTCAGACTTCATATCATTTCCTCTGCAAATATTTCATGATGTATCTCTACGAGATATAATCTGTTCTGGTTGTATCAGAATGGACATTTTGCGTTTGAGGGGGGCGGGGCATTCGGGATTATCGTCCAGAAGCTCGCAAGTGTGCTTCCACATTCAAACAGCTCCGAAGACCTTGTTAGCTGAATTGGGATTATTTATGCTCGAAGTTCCCCACTTTTTCTTGAAGAACCTTATATTTTCAGCTTATTCCAAGAAACCTTTGAGCTAATGAATTCCATATATTTATACGTTTGTGCTGTTTAAAGTATTTGTCTTAAAGTTACCTCTTAAAACTTTAGAAAATGACCTACAATTTACAGGTAAGTGTAAAAGTTTTTATTTCCGTTTTGTAAAATGAAATTTGAAGATAGTCTGTTATTGTAGGTTTTTGTTGATAGAGATTTTACAATTCTTTCTAAAACATACAACAACATCACTTTTGTTTTTTTTTTTTTGCTACTTTTAATTTGGCATTGAAGAATTATTTAAATTAGTGAAGTGAAAATTTGTTTATTGACATATTTCATGATGTTTTATTTGACTTTGAACTTTTTTCAGGTATTGGCCAAACCTTTGAATCTTCAGGATGAAAGTCAACAGACTCTAGTAATGCAGGTCTTGAAACTAGTCCTCAACTGCCTTAACTTTGACTTCATTGGCAGTTTAGCAGATGAATCTGCAGATGATCTTTGCACAGTGCAGATTCCAACGACCTGGAGAACAAGTAAGAAGAACGTTTAGTGTCAGAGATGGTCAGCATAAGAGGCAGAGAACTAAGTAATATAGTTGCCTATTTGCAGTCCTCTGTTTTTCTCGGCAGTCAGAAGGTAGCTGCTGATAGCTGATAATGAAATCTGTTTTCCCCAATTCATATCGGAGTAACTTCCATATTTTGACTTTGTAAAAAAAGGAAAGACAGCTCTAGAGTTAGAAGGGAAACAGGTTTGGGAGGGAAAATGCAGAGTTCCGTTTGAAAACTTTCAGATAAATAGTGGGAGAGGATACAACACTCGGCAATAGATATCAACATGATTTTTAAAGTCATAAAGAGAATAAAATAGAATAATTGCCTTAGCAGGGCAGAATAGCAACTTAACATTGTTACAGAGAGGGATACCAAGGACACGCAAGCCGATTTGCTCTCACACATCCCAGAAAGACGATGGCACTAGGTGGGGTATTTCTGAGGTCACAAGTGGGGACTGGGGCTGAAAGGGCTCAAACTCCCCAGGATCTTCTCACCACGTGTACAGCTAGGTGACAGTCTTTCCCCTTCTCTGCCCTGAGTGCACTTCCTTCTCGCTTCTCAAGACCAGAGCTTTTTCACCCCGAGAAATTAAACTGGAGAGGTTTCACATTCAGGGTAATCAGATAAGGTGAGAATCACCATAGATTGTGTGAAAACCTCTAACCTGGAAATTAGAGACTAAAACAAACAAAAGGGGCTTCGTATCATAATCGTGGTCATGAATACATGAACCAACATCTAATTAAAATTGCACAGACTAAATATACACATACACATTCACTCACGAGTACATGTGAATCTGGGAAATCTGAATAAGATTGGTGGATTGTACCAAGGTAGTTTCCTGATTGTGATACTGTACCGTCGTTTTCTAAGAAGTTACCATTGGGAGGAACGGAGTAAAGGGTACCTGGGGTCTCTTCGTGTTATTTTTTACAACTGCATAAGAGTCTGAAATTTTCTCAAAAAAATTTTTTTTAAAGAGGTGGGGAGTGTTAGTAGAAACAAAATGAAGAGTAGATGTAAACTTAAAAAAGGTATATGTATTCCCAGAGAGATATGAAAAGGTAATTCATCTTTGAAACAAGAATAGGACATTGTTTTAAAAAGAAACTTTCAGAGAATGTTCCAAATATAAAAAGATGGTCGTGAAAATAAAATATCAGTAAAAGAGTTAGAAGGTGAAGGTTAAGGAAATATCTCAGGAAGTAGAACAGAAAAGCAAAGAGAGATGCGATAGGGTATAAAAATACAAGAATATTGGAGCATGAAGCTGGGAGGTCCGGCATCTAACTATTAGGAGTTCAAGAGGACAGGAAAAACAGAAGGAAATTTGTAAACAGATAATACCAAAAAATGTTCATAGCACTGACACATAAATTTTCAGATTGAAAAGTCCCATCAAGAACCCAACATAGTGAATGAAAAAAGCATATACACTAAGGTTCATAATCATGACATTTCAGAATAACGAAGATAAAGAGAAAATCCTAAAATCTACCAGAAAAAAAGTAAATCACTTCAAGGGACTGGCATCGAGAAAGGTATTAGACTTCTCAGCAGCAGCGCTGGAGGCCAGAGTACAAGGAGTAATGTCCTCAGACTTCTGAGGGAAAATTAGTTTCATACTAGACTGAAATTATGAAGTTTAAGAGAGTAGATGCAAATCTTCCTGAGGTTTATCCCTTATGTACCTGCTCTCAGGAAGCTACTTGATCATACAAGCCAAGAAAGTGGAAGATAAGGAAGGGGTTTGGGAAAACAGAACTTCATCATGAGCAGACAATGAACAGACATAAAAAAGAAATAGTTATATACCAAGTTTAGGAATAACCCCTCCAAAGCGAAGGCTCTGGGCGATACAGGAGCGAAAATGGAGATAATAGGTTACTTGATGCTATTGATTATGTGAAAAGTGGCATGAAGGACATTTTGCAGATCCGTCAGAGCATTTGGAAAGAATTAGTGACATACAACTAAGCACAGAAAGGATGCTATGATTAAATCCAGAGACTGTTATAAATGTGATATAATCATAGTGTACTTGGCTCAGTTATTAACATTATTTACATAGTAAATGTAAACACTTAGAATTGATTTAATCTCAACTTGTCATAATAGTGGATGTGTTTTTAAGAGAGAATGGATTCTGGAGGTGGGGGTGGTAGGGTAAGTGATTAGACATCTAAAGCCTCATGTACTGTGACAGGAATTCATTTAATGTCTAAAGTAAAACCAGTAGAGAAATAGTAATGTAGCGTGTTATTTGTAAACATATATATAAGTATAAGTAAGAGTCAAAAAAGTTGTTGAAAATGGGGTAGGGTATAGTTTTTTTTTATTATATACTTTTTAAGTACTTTTTGATACTATTTGCATTTTTAAATGTTTATATTACTTGAATACAAAGGAAAATATTAAAATGCTCTAGGTAAAAACTGTAGATGCTACATAGAAATAAGGAACATCTTAGCTAGTTAATTTCGATCTCTGTATTAATTTATCTTTCAAAGGAAAATAGGAATTAAAAAGGAATTAAGCCAACCTGGAAAGAGGGGCCACATGCAGGGGTTTTGGGGTTCTTGGTTTATGTGATAAAGATGTTAAGATCACAGAATTGAAAGTGATGGTGTAGAAAATAATTTTTTTTTTTCTAGTTTTCCTGGAACCAGAAACATTGGATCTTTTCTTCAATTTGTATCATTCTCTTCCACCGCTACTATCCCAGTTAGTAAGTAAAAATCATTAATCATGTCATTAAAAAGTACCTATGATCTTTCTCTAAGAGTGGTATAGATTTACTTTTAAAAATTCTATTCATGTTCTTGAATGGGTTTACCTCTCACAGGAAATTCTGACATCTTTTGGGATTTATATTGCTTAAGCAATTGTCAGATTCTATCTGCAGTCAACAGTGCATTTCATTGAATGGGCGAACCCAGAACCAATAACTGTTCATTTAGCTCCTGCTCAGAGCCAAGACACACTATCAGCCTCTAAGTATCTTTCTTCCTTCTCAGTCCGCGTTCCTGCTTCTGGGCCTCTGACCAGTAGTTGGACCCCGTCTGCTCTATTCCCTTCTGTTATCTCTCTGACTCTTCCTCAATCCTGTCTGTCTCCATATCTCAGGTGTGCCAGGCAGCCCCCATCAGATATCTCTAAATGAGAATCAAAGGGGATTTTGTGCCCATCACTCCAGTTCAATTATTTTTTGAATCAAATTCTATTATGTGATTAAAAAATTCTTGAAACTTATTGGTTATAGAGAACTTTGAGACTGTGAACCCCATCTTTGTGGAAGCTAAAACAGACCAGGCAAGATTGAAAAGAAAAAATAAAGAAAAAGTTGTCAGTTTAATATCTAAGCTTGTAGAAAAGTAAAGTTGGAGAATTCTAATATTGCCATTTTCCAAAAAAAGATGTTCCAGATTTAAAGTACATGTCAGTAGTATGTTTGTTTATATATGTTGTTGCCTAGAAGGGAGAAACTGATTCACAAAAATACTCCTCTTTTTTTTCTTTTTTTTTTTAAACGTGTGTGCTCTCGAATCTAGGATTTTAAGATGGTGGTTTTTAAGCTGGGTTTCACAGTACACACACATTTCCAGGTGATGCCACCTACTTCACCCTTCTTTCTTTTAACCAGACCAGTCTTGTTTTTAGTTGTTGAAAAACCTTGGTTTCATGTACAATTACATTCTGGGATAAAACAGATAGGCTACTGGTTCTTAAAAAATAAAGTAGAAAACGACTGTTTTAAGAGAAAGTAACATTTCTTGGTCATGCCCTGTTACGTGGTGCTTGTCTCGCTTTATCTTCCCAGTGGCCCTGCGAAGTAAGTGTTGTTATCCTCACTGTGTAGACAAAGAAACAGGCCTAGACTGGCTTAAGTGACTTTCTCTAGGGCAGCAAATTAAATATCAGAGCTGAGATTCAAACTCAGGTTTTTTTGGCCCCTGAGCCCTGGATGGTTTTTTTACTATACTAGTGGTTCCCAAACCTTCTATACATCAGAATTGCATAAGGAAGTTTTTTTATTTTCTAACGGGACTGTGGCAAACTGGAGATCACCTAGAAGGCCATCCTCTGATTTTTATCCCTATGCTCATCCTCACCAGAAGAGCCAGACATTTTCCATGAAATTAAAATATTTAAATATTGGCAGCAAACTTTAATTAAAAAAAGAGTGGGCAAGCCAATGCATGCGGACCGATACAAAACGTATATGGGCCAGTTTGGTGGCCTGAAAGTTGCCAATTTGGGGCCTTTTACTTAATGATCAGACAGACTTCGGTGGGTACCAATGGTAGAATTAAGAACCCAAGTAGGGAAATTGTCTGGTAAAGTATTAATTTTAGGATGATAACTAGGCCACAGATACTCCGTAGGAATTTTTAGAGGGTATCTGACTTTTCCAGCAGCAGTTTCCAGATTGTTCCTTGATAGTAATGAATGGAGAGATCTTTATCACCAAACAGATTTGGGGCATGTTAGATTAATGAAGCTCCAGGGGTTTATCCCACTGCAGGATGCCATAGTGCATAACGTGCTGTATTTCCCAAATATACTCTGCCGCGAAACCATATTTTCTCTTGGGTAGAACGTCTGATTCATGGGTTTGCAAACAGAACTGGTCATCAGAAGCAGTTGGAAGCCTTTTGAGTATGTGCGTGTCCAGGCTCTGCTCCGGCATATTTAATATATGATAAGAATATTAGAGGAGAGAACACGCAGGTAGAAACAGGAATGTTGGTCATGGAGCTGAAGACTCGTGGGTGGTAGTGGTGATTGATATGTTAAATGTTTAGCTTTCATTATTTCTAGATTCTATGATGCTTTTTTAATCACAAAAAATAAATTTTTTTATATAAAGACAAGTGTACCTCACATGTGGCCGTAGTTACTTTAAAAACTGAAATGAAGTTTGTTTTCCCTTTTTCAGGCTCTTTCATGTTTAGTTCAGTTTGCTTCTACAAGAAGGTCCTTATTTAGCAGTCCTGAACGTGCCAAGTACCTTGGTAATTTAATTAAGGGAGTAAGGAGGATACTTGAAAACCCTCAGGTATTTACGAAGTAATTTAATTAATATTTAGCATGTAGAAATAACAGTTTTTCTGCTGAAAGCTGTATAAGAAACCCGTGACTTTATTATGGTACTGGAAGAAAACATGAAGTATCATATCCATCTTCCTTATATTTCATTTGTAGTAGAAACGGGCAGTTTTTAAAAATGGATGTATTCTTGACAGATTTCTGTGTTGTTCCTCTTTTATTTTTTGCATCCTTTTAGGTGAATAGAGGTTATATATCTTATGCTTCTGCGTTTTTTGTTTGTTTGTTTTTACCATTGTGCTACATTTCTTTGATTGTACTTCTTAAATTAGTGAAGTGATTAACTCAGAGTTATATCTTCTGAACTAGAAGACTTAAATCTGAATGTTAACATTGTAATAAGTGGCTTTAAATTATGAAATAATGTCTTTTTGCCCTCTTGTGGACAAATAAGAGTTTGTAGATTTTAAAATCTACTCTCAACACTAACTGCAAAGCTTCAATAGCAGTATTTATTTCAGAGGAATACAGAGCCATTATTAATTAATGATTTTTGCATGTCTAGATAAAATTTTTTGTTTTACTTTTTGGTTTTGGTTTAAAATATCTGTAATGAAAGTACAGATTTTTTAAAGTTATATGATTTAAGGAGGTTTATGTAAGTCTCTTGGTGGTTACTGATTTTTGAGGGGACATATAATATCTACATAAGGAAAATTATAAAGAGCAATTGTTTTTGCAGGTTATTCTCAGGAGTATTTTATATATTGTGCATTTGCTTTACCTTTTCAGTGTTAGCATAACTGTACTGTAAAATTTACGTGTTTTGCTGATAAATGGGATTTTACCAATATACTTAAAAAATTCTAAAAGTTGTTTTAATTACCGTCATCAATCTTTCTTTATGTGGAAGGTAATATGCTAGTGTCAGATAATTCTCTTAATTGATTTTCCAACATCTACATGTTGATGGTTTATGGCTGTAAAAGTTAGCTCGAATATTATATTAATTATTTTAGAATCACAGACACGTATCAGAAGACCTATGAGTACATAATATCTTTTTATAATTTGTCTTTAATAATTAGACACTATTTTATATTCTTTCATGTAGCTCATTCGAATGACATTTCTTAGAAACTCTTTTAGTATTAAACAGATACTTTTCTAATTATTTTTTACGCCAGCTTCCAAGCAAAGTGCTCAGCCTGTAGAGATAATAGCACGCGTGCTGTGTCTTCAAGCAGCTCACAGACAATCAGGGGCACCTGTCTTGGTCTTCTAACCTATCTTCCCCCAAAGTCACCTCTATATCTCGTAGTATTTTTGTTAAACTTTCTGTTCTACCTTGCCATAAATTATTCAAATGATCCTCCATTTAGCAATAGAGAATTGCCAAAGGGCACAATACCTGTAGGTACTCAATAAAAATTTGTTAAATTAACAGACATTTCTGTGATTTGTGTGTGCACATATACCATTTTTCTTACGTCCAGCTGATATTGCTCTTTTCCGGGCTTTCAAGAGCCCATTCTTATTTTTTCCCTTAAATATCTTTCAAGTCTTTTATTGACTTTGTTTAAGCTACAGGACACACACACATAAATGTTTTGCATAATACAATGGGTTCCTAAACATTATAATTTAGTCATCATGGTGCAGAGCTTCCTCCAAAAGCCTCTACTTTGGATTCCTTGTTATTAATCATTCATGACCATGTTAAATCCAACAGGAATTACTTGTTTTCTTTCATTAATACCTACCCAGTTGATATAAAGTGCCATAAGTACCCTTGAAAACTGGGAAACTTAATAAAATACCCTTGGAATTTTATTAATGGTATAATATTTTGTTTCATTTGTTTTTGAGTATTTTTAAATATCTTTTTCTTTTTTGTCTCATATTTTAGGGTTTGTCTGATCCAGGTAATTATCATGAATTTTGTCGATTTTTAGCTCGTTTAAAGACAAATTACCAGCTGGGAGAATTAGTTATGGTGAAGGAGTATCCTGAAGTTATCAGGTTGATTGCTAATTTTACCATTACTAGCCTACAGGTAAATAGAAATATATAATGGTATTAAACTGTAGATAGTTTTAAAACAATTTCTTGGTAAGGTTTGGTGGGGATTTTTTTTAACAATTATTACAGTGCTTTGCTAAAAATGTTCATTGTGACATTTTTTATAACAAAAAATTATAAAATCTAAATAACACATATTGAAGAATGAATCGAAAAGTCATAGTAAAATCTTTGTGAAGAAATAAAACTTTTACAGATTGGTTTTTGGGAAATTTTTGAAATTTTTTTTATAAGTCTGGAGGAAGTTTTTAAAACCATATTTTCCACATGATAGCCACTCTGAAAAACTATTCATGAAATGAAGATTAGAAGAAAGTACACTAACGTTTTAATGGTGACATTCCTAGGTGGTAGAATAATGAGAGATTGTTAATTTCTTCTTTAGACTATTTTGCATTTATGAAATTTGCTACGTTAAGTGTTTATTGGTTATATAATCAGGATAAAAATTAATTTTAAAATCTCTGTTTAGTAATTTTGCCTCTGTAATTCTTATTCTAGGAAGATATGTCATTTTCAATAACATTTGCTTTATTTCTTTATAGCATTGGGAATTTGCTCCCAACAGTGTTCATTATTTATTAACTCTGTGGCAAAGGATGGTTGCATCAGTTCCTTTTGTGAAATCAACTGAACCCCACTTATTAGACACTTACGCACCAGAAATCACGAAGGCCTTTATCACTTCTCGGTTGGAATCTGTTGCCATTGTCGTGAGGTATTGAAAACTAAATCTTTCTGTTGTATTTTCATCTTCTGCATCTCAGAATTTTTAAAAATCGAAGTATAATTTACCTACTGTAAAATTCTCCCCTTTTAGTGTGCAGTTTAATTAGTTCTGACAAGTGCATATGATTGATAACTGTCATCACGGTCAAGGTAAAGGATAGTTTCATCACTTCCCAGAAGGTCTTTTGGGTCCCTTTGTAGTCAGCCCTTTCCTACCCTCAGCCTCTGGCAATTACCGATTTGTTTTGTTTCCCTGTAGTGTTCGCCTTTTCCATAATGTCATATAAGTGAGATCACATAGTACATAGCCTTTTAGTCTGGCTTCTTTCACTTAGCAGAATGTGTTTTAGGTTCTTCTGTGTTGGGTCAGTAGTTTTCCTTTTTATTGCTGAATAATATTCCATTTTATGGACCTATCACAGTTTGTTTATCCATTCACTTGTCAATAGACATTTGGGTTGTTTTTATTTTTTGTAAATTATGAATAATTATTTCTCTTGAGTAAATACCTAGGTGTGAGACTCCCGGGTTGCATGGTAAGTGCATTTTTTACTTTATAAGTAACTGCCAAACTGTTTACTAAGTGGCTGGATTATTTTGCATTCCTACCAGCAGTGTATGAAAGATACAATTGCTTGCATCTTCACCAGCACTTGATATTGTCAATTTTTTAAAATTTTAGTCATTCTGAAGGTGTGTAGAGATACCTCATTATGGTTTTAATTGGCATTTCTTTAATGACTCTTAATGTAGAGTATCTTTTTATGAGCTTACATATCATTTGTATGTATTCTTTGGCAAAGTGCCAGTCAAATCTGTTGCCCGTGGTTTTTTTTTTTTTTTTTTTTTAATTGGGTCGTTTGTTTTCTTACACTGAGATTTGGAGGTCTGTATATTCTGGTCACACATCTTCTTATCATAGTGTTTTGCAAATATTTTCTCCCAGTCTATAGCTTGCCTTTTCATTTCCCAAAGTGTTTCAAAGAGAAGTAGTTTTAAAGTTTGACGAAGTCCAATTTATCCTTTATTTTTTCTTTTAGAGGTTTTATACTTTTAGAATTAACATTTAGGTCTATGATTCATTTTTGTATGTGATGTGAGGTAAAGCTTAAGGTTCTTTTTTTTTTCTTTTGCATGTGGGTGGCAAATTATCCAAACACCATTTGTAGAAGACTATGTTCTCTCTATTGAATTGCCTCTACACCATTTTCAAAAATTGACCACATACATGTGGTTCTATTTCTGGACCCTATTCTCATTAATCTATGTGTTTCTCCTTCTGCCAATACCCTGTCTTGATTGCTGTGGTCTTATAATAAGCTTTGACATCAGATAGTAGACGACTTACTCTGGTTTCCCCTTTTCAAAATTATTGGCTCTTACTTCCTTTGTGTTTCTATGTAAATTTTAGAATCATCTTGTCAGTATCTACAACAAAACCCTGCTGGGATTTTGACTGGGATTGCATTGAATTTTTATAAACATTTGGGGAAGAATTGACATCTCAGCGGTATCAAGTCTTTCAGCCAATGAGCACGTTTATCTTTTAATTTAGCTCTTCTGTGATTTCTTTCGTCAGTATCTTGTAGTATTCAGCATTCAGATCTTACATATGTTTAATTAGATTTAATTAGTATTTTATGTTTTCTAGTGCCTTTAGAAGAGAAGCTTTTTTAAATTTAAATTTCCAATTGTTCATTGCTAGTATATAGTAATACAGTTGAATTTTGTTTATTGACCCTGTGTACTAGGACCTTGGTAGACGCACTTGTTAGCACCAGTAGCTTTTTTGTAGGTTTTTTTGGTATTTTTTATGTACATAATCATGTCATTTTCAAATACATTTTATTTCTTACCTTGCAATCTATTTTATTCCTTTACCATGATGGAATTTTTCTTTAACATAAAGTTTATTTGTGGTGACTGAAAGTACATCGCATTCTAACGTCGTCTGCAAACTCGTTCTTATATATTTGCAGAGATCATTTAGATGATCCACTGGATGACACCGCCACTGTGTTTCAGCAGTTGGAGCAGTTATGCACCGTCAGCAGATGTGAATATGAAAAGACGTGCACTCTTCTTGTACAGTTGTTCGACCAAAACGCACAGAATTATCAGAAGCTTCTGCATTCAGCTTCTGGGATAACTGTGGACATGGCAATTCAGGAAGGTTGGTAAATTTCATATGACTATTATATGGTCTTAAGTTGAATTTTAAGTAGCTTCATTCATCACTTTAATAATTTTATGCAAATTATTTTTATATATTTCCCCCACTTCCTCACCCTCTAATAAGCCATTAATTTTTTTTTAACCTTCTGGATATTTTGGTAGCTTAATGGTTAATTTTAGTTTTCCTTTATAAGATTCACAGGCAAAATTTCTCTCCAGAATCAGTATCAAGCAGAGCTAATAATAGTCTTTGGGTAGACTGTATTGTCTTCTAACGACCTTTTAACTGATCTGATTGTGTTTCCTTTTTTGTTATAGATGATTGCAAATTCAGAGCCCAATTTTAGCCAGTAAAAAATTATATAAGACCTCATCATGGCTTTATATTTGTGTATTAGCCTTCACCATGACTTTATTACTATATTTTAATTCTTTAATCTATGAATCCCATTATTTTTCTTTAATCCTTTATTGAAGGAGGGTTTATTTATTTCTGTATATCCCTTAAATCCTTTTAGGAACATAACAGGGAATGAAAATAAATAGCTTTTTCAGATTTTTTTAATAAGATGAGTTAGAGAGTGAAACTGGCTTTATACATTTATAGTAGAAGGCACTTTAATTATAGTTCTAGAATGGCTTTTTTAAAAATATTTCTTTGTATATTTTATCTCGTTTTGGAAAATGAGTAGTAAGAGTTGATAGTAAAACTTACTTTAGATGATTTCTCATCTAAACTTTTTTGTAAAAATTCTTTAAAAAATTGTCCTTTGCATTTACATAATGTCTCTTTAAAATGCCTTGTATTCATTATCTTTTTGTTTAGTTGCACAATACTGCTGAAGAGCTAGATAGTGGAATAGTTAGCCTTTTCTACTTTAAATGTTCTCTTACTAGGATTTCATTATTTATAAATTAAATTGGGGAGAACTAACATTTTTTGCAGCACTTAGTCTCTTCATCATTGATTACTTCTTTTAGTAGAGTTTTGCAAATTGTTAAATATCGAATATATACAAGAGGATATTCATATAGATTGAGACACAGTGGCTAGCGGTGACAGACACCATCACGGAGCTTAAAGAATAGGTCAGCATATCTTCGTTGTTCCTTTGTTCTTCTTTTCCAAATTCATCCTCTTTCCTACCAGCAGAAAATACTTGTAATCTTGAATTTGGTGTTTATTAACTAAAGCCTTTTCTTCATAGTTTTACTGCATATGTATAAGTTCTGAAAATAATGCATGGTTTTGCATACTTCTGAACTTCATACAAATGCAATCAAGCTGTATTTATTCTTCTACAACTTGCTGTATTGTTTCTTCTCTCAGGATGTACCTTGATGAGAGTCTGTGTTGATGCCATAGCTGGAGTTCCTTCATTTGTGCTGCCAGCGTTCTGTTCTTTGAATAAGCCACAGTTTATTTATGCATTTTCTTTTCAGTGGGTTTTCGTTTTCTCTATTTTTTGATCATACAGTGAATGCTGCTGTAAAGATTGTTATGTATACCCATTTCGTGGTCAGCATCAGTAAGTAGACAATGCCACTAGATTACAGAACGATTGTACTACTTTATCCCACTCACCCTGACTGGTTGAGGTGCTATACCTCATGGATATTTGACTTTTCACTCTCATGATTATTAACAAGGTTTAGCATCGTTTCATGTTTATTGACTGTTAGTTGTGTCATCATCAGCGATATATACATTCATGACTTTCGTTCATTTCCCCCTCACCATTTGGATTATTGGTCTTTCTCTTACGGAGTGAGCTCTTTATATACTTTTGACACTAATCCTTTATTTATTTGAATTGTAAATATGGTCTCTTACGTTTGTGACCTATCTTTACTTATCACTTTAATGTGGCTATTTTCTTAGTTATTTTCGTATCAAACTTTATATTAATTCACCTAATCTTTTTCAAGAGGTAATATGTTTATATTGTCCAGAAATAAGAAAATGTGTTCAGTTCCAGACCTATAATGTGTCCTCTCATTCTTCACTCTAATAAGTAATGATTCTTTCCAGTTTCCTATGCATATACAATTAGGAATGTATAGATTCTTATCCCTCTCTTATTTACATAGACTGTGGCATACCAGCTCCCTGTTCTGTTTCTTGCTTTTTTTCCTTTAACTGTATTTTATAGCTATTTTGAAAGCAGTATATAGAGAATGCTTATTTTTTTATAGATGCATAACATTTTATTTTTTGAATGTATCATCATTTATTTAATCATCCTCCACTATTGAGAGTCATTTGAGTTATTTGCCATCTTCTTTTAAAACTAATGCTGTACAAATTAACCTTGTACATATATCGTGCTTTTCTTGGCCATTCTTGTGTCTTTTGTGAAATGTCTATTCACATTTTTTGCACATTTCTAAATTGGGTTGCTTGTCCTTTTATATGTATGCTTACTAGAATTGTAAGAGGGTCATAATTCTGTATACAATCCCTTTTTCATGTATGTGTTTGCAAATATTTTCTCCTTTTCCGTGGTTTTGTCTTAACTATCTTTAAAGAGCAAAAGTTAAATTCTGATGATCTACCTTTTCAATTTTTTCTTTATGGCTTGTGCTTTTTATATTTAAGAAATGTGCAACCCAAGTTGCAAGGATGTTCTCTTATGTTTTCTTCTAGAAGTTTTATGTTTTTAGCTATTATATTTAGGTCTTTGATCCACTTTGTTTAATTTTGTGAATGGTACGAGGTAAAAATAAGGTCCCCTCCCTAGCCCGCGCACTTATCAAGTTCTAGCACCATTTGCTGAAACGACTCTTTTTTTCTCCATTGAGTTATCATGACACTTTTTGTCAAAAATCAATTGATCATAAAAGGCTAAGGTCTGTTACTGAACTCTGTTCTGTATCGTTGACCTACATGTTTATCCTTATGGCAGTTTCATACTGTACTGGTTAGCACAGCTTTATAATTCTTGATATCAGGTAATTTAAGTCCTCTGGTCTTGTTCTCCTTTCTAAAACTTGTTTTGTCTCTTCTAGGCATTTTTTTATTATTAATTTCTGTATTAATTTTAGCATCAGCTTGTCAGTTTCTTCCAAAAAACTCACTAGATTTTGATTGGGATTGCATGTCAATGCGTACTTCAGTTTAGGTCATCTTCACAGTACGCAGTCTTCCAGTTCAGCGACTTGCTATATTGCTCCATTTACATAGGTGTTCTTTAATTTTCTTTGCAATGCTTTGTTGTTCTCAGCGCACAGGTATTAAAAATCTTGCACTAAATTTATTCTTATATGTCTTTATGCTGTTGTAAATTTTATGATTATTCTCTGCTACTCTATAAAACTAAAATTGATTTTTGTCTTTGTGTCCTATGACTTTGCTAAATTCACTTATTAATTCTAATAGCTTTTTTGTAGATACTTTAGGATTGTTTTATATGATCATGTCATCTGCAAATAAAGACAGTTTTATGTCTTCATGCCTCTTACTTCTTTTTCTTGCTTTATTTCAATGGTAGGACCTCCAATACAGTATTGAATAAAAGTGGGAAGAGTGGGTAATCTGGCCTTGTTTTAGTTTGTACAGAAAAAGCATTCAGCCTTTTACCATCAAGTATGATATTATCTGTAGTTTTTTTTTTAAAGCTGTCCATAATAAATTTGAGGAAGTTCTATTCTCCCAACTATTTATAATAATGGGGCATTGATTTTTTTAAAATGCTTTTTCTGCATCTATTCAAATGACCTTTTTTCCTTCATTTTAATTATGGTGAATTACATTGATTGATTTTTCTATATTAAGCCAGTTTTGCATTCCTAGGATAAATCCTACTTGGTTATAATATACTTGTTATTTGGTCTTTTTCTCCCCTAATTTTGGATTGGAGACTCCACATCTTTGATTTTTAGATTTTGGCATTTTTCTAATAAAAAGATTTAAAGCTATAAATTTTACTTTAAGCATTGCTTTAGCTGCATCTCATAAATTTTTATTTTAATTATTATGTAACAAAGTATTTTTTAATCTGTTGTTTATTTGTTAATTTGTGTATTATTTATAAGCGTGCTTTTTATTTCCAAATATTTGGGGTTATCCTAGTTTCCTTATTGTTACTGATTTCTAATTCTGTCTTAGTCAATATCATTTTATATGATTTCAGTCTTTTTAAATTTATTGAGAATAGTTTAATGACCCAGAACCCTGGTAAACATACCAGGTACACTTGAAAAGAATGTGTATTTTACCATTGTTGTGTATAATAGTATGTAAATAGAAATTAAGCCAAGACAGTTAATAGTGCTGTTCACATAGTTTTTGTCTTTACTATTTTGTTTTTTGTGGATTTTGTTTTGATCTGTTTCTATTATTTACAGAGAGAAAGGTGCTAAAATCTCCAAACAGGATTGTGGAATTGTTTATACTACTTTCAGTTGTTAATTTTTGCTTCTTGTAGATATTTATAGTAGTTTTGTCTTTTTTATTAGTTGACCCTTTTATCTTGAAATCTCTGCTCTGGTGTGCTCATAAGCCAGTGCAGTCTTATGTTCTCTGTTTACGTAGGATCACCTTCTCCATCCATTTATTTCCACTCTGTCTGTGTCTTTACATTTAATGTGTGTTTCTTATGGACAGTATATAGTCCTTCTTTTAAAAAATCCATTCTGACCATTTCCGTATTTTAATTGAAGTGTGCAGTCCAGTAACTAAATGGGTAGAGAACTACCAACTCAATGCCATATAAACTATTTCCTTAGAATAAGGTTTTTCATATCACACTGGTAGTTTATATTTAGGCTATAAATCATTTGAGGTCTGACTTGAGGGTCTTTTCTTCCTGTCCACCTAACATGGAAGTCAAGTCAGACAAGTTTCTGTGTTATCATTCTCTGTCTAGGCCAGGTTTTCCCCCTCCAGTTCACCTTTTCACTAAGGTTAGAACTCTGTGTCCCCGCTTTATGAGGTTTTTATTGGATGCCTCACCTTTGGTATACCCAAGGCTTTGTCCTTTGACCATCGAAGCAGAA